AAAATAGAAGACAATGTAAAATATCTCATTGGAAAAACAACTGATCCAGGACAGATAATTTAAAAATTATTGGTCTACTTGAAAACCATGATCAAAAAAGAGCCTAGACATCATCTTTCAAGAAATTATCAAGGAAAACTGCCCTGATAGTCTAGAACCAGAGGTAAAGTAGAAATTGAAAGAATCCATCTATCATCTCTTGAAAGAAATCCCCAAAGGAACACTCCTAGGAATATTATAGCCAAATTCCAGAGTTCCCACATCAAGAAGAAAATATCACAAGTAGCCAGAAAGAAACGTTTCAAGTATTGTGGAAACACAGTCAGGATAACACAAGATTTAGCAGCCTCTATATTAAGGGATTGGAGGGCTTGGAATATGATATTCTGGAGGTCAAAGGAGATAGGATTAAAACCAAGAATCAGCTACCCAGCAAAACTGAGTATAATTCTTCAGGGAAAAAAAATGGACATTCAATGAAATAGAAGATTTTCAAGCATTCTTGATGAAAAGACCAGAAGCTGAATAGAAGAATCTAGCCCTTAAATCCCAAGATATCTTGGGAGCTTTCATTGATCAAAATTAATTTATATTCATTAGGGTAGAACATCCACAGGTAAGTATGTTATCCTATGTGGACAGAGGGAAGGGAAGGAGAGGGAAGAGAAAGGAAGGAAAGAAAGGAAATAATAGAGAGAAAAGAAAGAAAAATAGAAGGAAAGAAGGAAGGAGCTGTGTTGCCCAACTGGCCAGTTCCAATTGGCTCCCCAGTGGGGTAGCTCCTACTGCTACTCACAGAGAAAAGAAAGAAGGAAGGAGTTGTTACATTACAACATGAGAAGGTATATGAAAGGGGAGGGGGAGCAGAGGAACAGATAAGAATGTGTGGGAAGGTGATCCTTGTGGTCCCAGAAAGATAACAGTCTTCAGGGGAGTGGATAAAAAGAAGAAGGAAAAAAGAGACTTTGCTTTAGTGATGGGAGGGAGTTCCACTGATGCATGTTCTTATGGTGAAGAGAGATGGTCTGTGAAGGGTGATGAGGACTTTTTGTTAAGTGTGATCTAGGGGATTTGATGCTTGAAAAGTCCACTCATCCCATCTGAGAGGAGGGAGTTGGATCTCCTAGGGGCAACCTGCACCCGGGGGGAATGGGAGGGCCTAGAGTGAGTGAAGAGATTGTGAGAGAAATGGGGGGAAAAAAAATAACCAGGGGAGAGTATAGATCAGTGGTGGGCTGTATAATCAGTGACATTGAGAGGGGCGAGAGGAGAGACCATGAGGTAGTGTCTTCTCAGACACCTGCAGTAATTGTCATTGTTCTTTCTGCAGAGAGTGAGGCACAGTGGAACCAAGGAAGAAATTCTGCAATGTAGTGGCAGAAACTGCCTAGTAAGGAAAGCCTAGAATGAATACTTTGGAGACTGTGATTGCAGGAGGAATACACAGAATAAAGGGAGATACGATAATTATAGAGGTCACCATCTGAGAATAAGGGTCTAAAGTAAACAGAGAGAGGATTGATAATGAAGAGAGTAGAGAATCCTTTCTGGAAAGGTGAAAGGGTGAAGAGGAAGGGGGAAGCTACTTGTCTATGGGGAAAAGGGGATGGGGAGACCAATATAACCAGATAAAAGTGAGAGAAATAAGCAAAACCCCAAAAGGAAAAAGATAATAAGAAAAGGGCTGAGAGGGAAGACAGCTGATGGGAATAGGGTCACTTTAAAAGGAAGAAACTTAGTACTGTATAGCAGAAGAGGGGGAAGATCGTAACTTAAAAAAATCCCAATATTAGAGGTAGATAGAAGAAAATATAAACCTGACTCTCATAACTTTAGATGTAAATGGGTCCAATCCAGTTAAACAAAAAATGAGTGACGGATGCATAATGAAAAAAAAAATACCCTACAATTTGTTGCTTACAAGAAACACATTTAAGAAACAAAGACATACACAAAATAAAACTGAGGGATGGAAAAAAATTTACTATGTTTCACATGAATCCAAAAAAAATAGGAGTTGCATTCATGCTGACAAAGCAAAAACATTCAAAAAATAAAAGGGATAAACAAGGCAACTACATAATGCTGAAAGGAACCATAGACAACAAACCAGTATAGTCATAGACTTACTTATATGATCCAAATGCCTTAGCATCCAAATTCACAAAAGAAACATTGTCTGAGTTACAGGAAGACATAGAGCGCAACACAATAGTGACAAAAGACTTCAGTATCCCTCTCTCAGTTTTGGATAAGTCTAACAGAAAGATAAATAAAGGGAAAAAACATGGGATTAAACAAAGTCTTTTCTTCTCCAAATTTGCCTAGTTTTGTTGAAGGCACCACCATATTTCCAGTAACTCAGGTTTATAATCTCAATATTATTCTGGTCTTCTCACTCTCCCTTAGCCCACATATCTAGTCTTTTACCAGATCTTGCCATTTCTGTGTTCATAACATCTCTTGAATCTGACCTTCCTCTCTACTCACGCAGCTGCCACCTTTGTTCAGGCCCCATCACCTCTCACCTCAGTTATTGCAGTGGCCGCCTCCTTGGTCTGTCTTCCTGAAGTTTCTTACCACTCCAGTCAGTTCTACATATTGTTGCCAAAAGTAATTTCTTTAAGCATAGATCTGACCCCTTGAATAGGTTCAACCAACTCCAGTGACTTACTGATTATCTCTAGAATCAAATGTAAACTCCTAAATTCAGCTTTTAAAGGCCTGTACATTCTGGCTTCAGCCCGCCTTTTTAACTTCATTAGATCACCTCTTTTCTGTACTCTGTGTTCCAGCCCCACTGGCCTTCTCTCTAATCTTGGCTCATGACGTTTATTTCCCATCTCTTTGCCTTTGCACTGTCCATCCCACACACCTAGAATATACTCCAACTTTACCTCTGCCTCTGAGACCCTCTCTACTATCAAGATGTAGCTCAACTACCACCTTCCTAGACCAGGGGTAAGGAACCTGCTGCCTTGAGGCCACATGTGGCCCTCTAGGTCCTCAAGTGCAGCTCTTTGACTGAATCCAAACTTGATGGAATAAATCTTTCATGATCCTGCCCCAGCCCCCAACTGCTGATGCCCTCCTTCCTTATATATAGCAATAACAACAACTACAACCTTATAAACAACTAAATTGTGACTATAAATGCATGCATATATGTATATGCATGTATTTATTAGCTTTATATTTATGCTGTATGTACTCTTCCATTTGAATGTAAGCTCATTTTGTATAAGGATTGCTTCCTTCTTTGTGCCTGAATCCCCGGTATTTAGCACATAGTAGGAGCTTAATAGATAGTTGTTGATTGATTGACAAAAGAATCTTGGGCTAGATAGATCGTTAAGTCTAACCCATTATAGGAACTCCTATATTTCAGTAGAGTTGGCCTGACTGAACACATAGTCAAACTGATATCTATTTCTACCTCCTACTGTGATAAAGGAGCCCTTACTAAGAAAAAAAAAATTAGCAAAAATTAGTCAGCAGATAGGAAGAGAAGCCAAATTTACCTATGGATTTGTAAACCACTTGCCAGCTAATTAACTTCAAATTAACTTTATATTTTCAGACCATTTTTATCAGCTTCCCCATAACTTACTAGATAGCCATGAGGTGTTTTCCCCTCAGACACATACTCTAACACTGACTGCCCCAATGGAATTTTGCAGGTATTTTCTTGCCCCGGTGAACGTTCTCCTGTGAACATGCAAGATATATCACAGTTGTTTTAAACCACAAATAACCTAATCTAGGTGCTTCCTTTTGTTTGACTACACTGATGGGGAGATTTTGAAAATTGTTTGTAGTAAGTGCTCACAAAGATTTTTGCCCCTTTTTTATTTTTAGCCACCATGTTGATTGATAAAATGCATGTTTTTTTAAATTGGCATTTTGTAATTGAAACATTATACTCCTAGGTTGTTGGGTCAAAGGAAGAGTTCGTTCAATGCAAGTAGATTTTCTCTGGCTTGTTTTTTTCCCCTTTCTTTTGGTATGATATTCATTTTCATTTCTAACAGTAGTTAGGGGGAATCTCGTAATTCGCCCAGGAGGGTACTGTGGCCGTGGTCGAATATAATAATGAGGTGGAAAGCCAGTTTGCATGCAGTATTTGTACACTGTCAGCTTATCAGATACCTGGATTAGTTCTCTAATATGCTAAATAAGGTTTTGCCTTAATGTACTGCTTATCTAAAGAGATCTAACGACAGCATAATTGGAACCTAAGAGCAGGCATAATCATTACATATGCTGTTGTGTTTACTTTATTAATAAGCTGAAGAAAAAGTTTATTGCATCCTTTTGATAATTCAACTTTCTGTCTCTCACAAGACTTGCATGCCCTCTGCTGCCCTCTTGATTTATTTCATTTATTTACCCCCCAAAAAATGCCGAGATCGGTGCTGAAGAATTCTGTGTGTCAAAATGAAAATTACTTCCATTTTATTCTGCATAGCATGCTCCTGGAAAGAGGGCTTGCTGTATATTCATTGTGTTGGGAAGTAGCTACACCTTGGTACTATGGAAGTAAAGTAAACTACTTTTATTTTTCATAGCTATAAAGTTGGATTCTGGCAAACAGAAGAGATTTAGTGGAGCCCAGGTTTTACATTATCTTGTTTATTGATCTCTCTAAAATGAAAATGACAATTTAAATTTATTATTTTAAAATGAAACTTTATTGATTTTTTGCAAATATGAAATAAATTAAGAAATAAATCAAAGAAATATTCTGATCATATAGGAAGAATTCCAGGACATTAAGTTTCATATAAACGTGTGTGTGTGTGTATGTGTGTGTGTGTGTGTGTGTGTGTGTGTGTGTGTATTTGCCTTTAATAATGCTGAATACTATTTACTATTGCGTCATGAACAAATAAATAAATCCTATGTAGGAGGGCAATGCCTGAGAAATAACTTCCTTCACAAGACCCTCCTGGTTTTTTAGTTAATTTCATCTAATTCCGTTTTGCTTTGTATTGTTCCAGGAAGGATTTTCACTCATCGACAGCAAGAAGTGGCTGAAGATTGTAAGGCGGGTGGATTGTTTACTGTTTGGATCAACAATAAAGGCAAGTGCCTTGCAGACAGTGCCAACCAGACAGTCTGGCGTGCCATTCTTTTTCTTCATGGGTAGTTTTTTTTTTCCTTGTCATTTGTGAAATGTTGCCTCACAAAAACTCTAAATTTAATTTAGTTATTAGAATGTTTTAACCTTCATTCTATGAATCACAAAACATCATGAAATAAGGATATAAACAAAGCATGGATCCAGTTGGCAGGGGGGACACTGCTTCCCTTTTAAAGTTAAGGCCTATGAAAGGCTTAAGTGACCTTTTATGACTTTCTTCAAATTTTCCCCTGTCCTCCCATGCAAAAATAGCAGTGAGAAGGGTTGTTTTATTTTTGCTATTTGCTTAGTTTTCTTGCTATTGTGTGCTAAAATGTATGTATAGGTAGATGTATTTCATTTAGTTTTTTCTTACTTTTTTTTTATTTTTTCTTTCACATTTTAAAAAATTCCCTTACCTGCTTCCTAGCTGTGCTAGATGTTATGGTTCTCATTAAAGAAGCATGCTGGTTAATCACTAGAATGTGTACACTTGAGGAAAGATCTGTGTCTGTTAACATTCCTCAGTGGACAATGTTTCAGCTCAAGTGAAAGACACTAATTTTTAATAGAATCTTAAAAGTGGAAGGGATCTCTAACTGAAAGCCATCTAACCCAGAAAAGCAGAAAACTGGGGGAAATTTTTTTACAGCATGTCTTCCCAGATTTTTCTGAAAAACCATTTCCTTCCTCATTTCTTATAGCACAACAATGTTCCATCACAGTCACATACCATAACTTGTCCAGTCTTTCCCAATTGATGGCCATCCCCTCAGTTTCCAGTTCTTTGTGAACACAAAAAAAGAGCTGCTGTGAATGTGTTTGTATATATGAGTCCTTTTCCTCTTTCTCTGATCTCTTTGGGATAAAAACCTAGTCGTGGTATCACTAGATCCAAGGGTATGCAGAGTTTTATAGCCCTTTTGGACATAGTTCCAAATTGTTCTACAGAATGATTGGATCAGTTCACAGTTCCACCAGCAGTGCATTGGTGTCCCAGTTTTCCTACATCCTCTCCAGCATTTGTCATTTTCCTTTTTTGTCATCTTAGCCAGTTGGCCAGTTGGGTTGGAACCTCAGAGTTCTTTAATTTGCATTTCTTTAATCAGTAGTGATTTAGAGCATTTTTTCATATTACTAGAGATAGCTTACTAGAGATAGCTTTGATTACTTCATCTGAAAACTGCCTGTTCATATCCTTTGACCATTTATCAATTGGGGAATGGCTCTTATTTTTATAAAATTGGGTCACTTCCCTATATATTTGAGAAATGAGAGCTTCACTGGAGAAACTTGCTGTAAAAATTTTTCCCCCAGTTTTCAACTTTTCTTGGTTAGATGACTTTCAGTTAGATCCCTTCCAGTTTTAAGATTCTGTTAAAAATTAATGTCTTTCATTTGAGCTGAAATATTATCTACTGAATGAATGTTAACAAACTTTTCCACGGGTCTTTTCTAAAGTACACAATCCTAATAGCTGTCCTTGTCCTTGAGGAGCTTACAATCTAATAAAGGAATACAATACACAAAAAGAAGGTGAAAGGCGGGAGGGCACCCAGCATGGAGCATGATGTCGGAGTTACGTACAAGAAGAGCTGGAAAGTTCTGAGCTCTCTATAAAGGAAGGCCTTGGAGGAGGGGACGGCTTTGCCCTCTCGACCTCCCGTCAGGGGTAGAGAAGCCACTGAGGGTGCCGAAGCGTTAAGTGTCAAAGCTGATATGATCTCCAAGATGAGGAGATTACTCGAAATGTTCATGAGATCTATGGGTGGAGAGAGCCAGTGTAGGTCTGGAGCTTGGGAGGCACACATTAGGAATGGAGATAAAGCTTCAGGGCACCATCTATGTGGAAGTCCTCATTAAAGCTGTGGCAGTGAATGGGAGAAGAGCACACAGAACAAAAATGAGGGGGCAGGGATCCAAACTTGTAGGGACAGGAGGAAGAAGAGCTGTTGAAGAGGAGGGGCTGAGAGGGGGGTGGACAGCTGAGGAAAGTGCATTGTGCTAAAGGCCAAAGGAGTGGAGAGTCCCGACAAGGGGGTGGGTCAAGGAAGACCTCAGGGTACTTTCTGTAATATTTAAAGGAGTATGTTTTATTCCAGATCTCTAGCACAGAGGCCTCACAGGGACTCTGGGTATTTGCTCCTCCCTGCTCTCTAGCCTAGCCATGTAGTTGTGTACCAAGGTTGTTATAGGGAAGTCAGTAGGCTTTCCATTTCTTACGTTAATTAGCTCGTCGCACCTAGCCTAGCTACTTCAGGTATAAGTCTCTTTTTGGCTGTCGTCTAGGGTTTCCTCAAAAAAGAAGGGAAGTTAATAAGAAAGGTACCTGATATACAAACAAGAATTGAGTACACCACAGATCCTTTAATCCCACACAGAAAAGGTAATGCTGTTAGCACAAAAGAATAATAGAATACATTACAAAATGATTAGAAGAGTCTAGTAATGTGTCACCACTAGTACAGTCAGTTTGGATATTAGTATTAAGTCTTGTTGGGACATGAAACAGTTTTTGCAAGGTTACAGACTAGCCATTTCCCATTTCACCAACCTTGATCTTCTCTCTGGTGATCTTTATATTTTCCTCAAAGCCCTCCCCTATTCCCTATTATTGTGGAAAGCACCATCATCCTCCCAGTCACCTATGCTCCAACCTAAGTGTCCTTCTTGACTCCTTATTCTTTTTCACTCCCCCCTCCACCCCAACATCCAGATCAGTTGCCAAGTCCTAGCTTTGCACCATTTCTCACATACACCCTTTTTGGTCCTCTGACACTGCCACCACCTTGGTGCGGGCCCTTATCACTTTACACATGACTATCACTCTAACCTGGTGGTTCTGTCTGCCTCAAGACTCTCTACTCCAGTCTATCCTCCATTCAGCTGTCGCATTGATTTTCTTAAAGCACAGATCTGACCATCTCACACATAATCCATTCCACCTCATTCCCCATTCAATCAGCTCTAGTGGCTGCCTATTACCTGTAGGATCAGATATAAAATCCTGTTTGGCATTTAAAGCCTCCTTCTACCTTTCCAGTCTTCTTATATGATACCATCCTCCTAGTGGCATTGGCCCCCTTGCTGTTCCTTCCATTTCTCAATTCCCAGCATTTTCCCTGGATGTCACTCCTAAATGGAATTCTCTTCCTCCTTATCTCTGCCTCCTGGCTTCCCACAAGTCTCCACTGACACATGGCAGGTGCTTGTGGACTTGATGCCAACTCTGCCCATTGCATTAGCGCAGTCCTGAAGCTGCTTAGATCCTTATTGTTAGCCCCCTGTCCCGGGAGATTCTGCTGATGCTCCTTTGCTGGTGGAAGATACAGCCACTTACTTTAAGCACAGACTTTCATGTTTTCACAAGGTCTCTGTCAAAGGAAGGCAGACACGAAAGGGAAGTGGCAACATCCAAGACACTAGCTAGGTAGGACGTGTGCTCACAGCTTAAGGCAAGCTGTGAAGGGAATGGGGGAAGGGGATGACATTCCCCTCACCAACCTCATGTTTCAAAACCAGAAGGAAGACAGTGAGTCAAAGGGAGAGTCCTTGGCTAGAAGCCGCCCCACCTCTTGCTTCTACCTGATCACTGGGAATAGCATCTGAGCACGCTCCAGAAGGGAAAGGGCAAAGGCTACCAAAGGGTGTCTGCTACCCTCCTTTCTTTATATGAATGCTGTTAATTTCTAGAAGCTGTCACACCTTGCCATTTGTTTTCTGGGTGAGAAGCTCTCTAACTGCATTACTTCTGTTGTCTCACTCTCACTTTAACAGACTCTTAAGTTCCTATCTGCCACCTTGTTTCCTTAGTGCCATCCTGTGATAGAAGTATTGTATGAATCGGTAATAAATCTGTATTTTCTTAAATGGACATAAGATTCATTTATTCAGTCAGTAATTTAAAGTTACTAAAATCTTATATTCATACAATTAAAGCTATATTTGCTTCTGTGCGGAAACAGATCTTTTGCATAAGTTCTGGCCATGTGTATGGAGTCCTGCTCAACCTTCTTCTTTCAGCTTCTTGCTTCTTCACTTCTAAGTACAAGGGAAATTTTGAAATCACTTCAGTTAAATCACTTTTTTAGTTTTGCCACTGGTGATTTCCACATTTGTGACATTTTCTGATCAAGCAGGAGAATTTGTTTCTTTGGTTAGTGGGTCTTAACAGATTATATAAGAAGCCTCTAAGGGGTTTAGGTTTTTCTTTAGAACTTGCATGTAATGTTTGTCCCCTCACTCCCATCACTGATTTTGCATGGAGGCCAACTTTCACAGTATATAATACCCATGCAGTATGACCAGATTCAGTGAAGATGATGAGTATATGATAGTGAAAACCCGCCACCACTTTGTTATCTTTTTTTCCAGTGTCAATGGCAGCTGCAGGTCTCCATCTATAAAATGAAGGGGTAGAACTAGATGGTCCCTTTTAGCTCTAAATTTATGATCCTATGAAAAAGAGAAATAAAATCCCAGGTAGGACGATAAGTCCTAACTATTCACATTTTGATAAAAGCAAAAAACATAAACTTTAATGAAATAACTTATTTGCTGTTTTCTCATCTTTTTTATGTGTATTTACAAATTTTTTGTTGCTGTTTATCTTATAGTTGACAGTGTTTGTTGTTCTCTTCTGCTTCACTCACTACACCTAACTTTTTTTTACAGATCTTTCCATATTTCTTTGTTTTCTACACCTTCACCTTTTTATGGTGCAGTAATGTTCCATTCCAATGGAAAATACCTGAGTAAATCGGGGTACCAGTGAACCACACAAGATGGTGTTTCATTTGTTTGTTGTTGTTTAGTTGTTTTCAGTCACGTCTGACTCTGTGACCCCATTTAGAGTTTCTCGGCAAAACACAGGAGTGGTCTGCCATTTCCTTCTCCAGCACATTTTACAGATGAGGAAACTGAGATGAACAGGGTTAAGTGACTTGCCCAAGGTCACACAGC